AGGGTCTGTGCGGCCCGGCCAGCCGCCCAGCCGGCTGCAGGCCAGGCGTGGAAAGGCCGGTCACCAAAACGTGAGCCTTTGGGTTGGGAAAAAGTGCTTATAAGTTTGCGAGACTGGTCGTCTTGGCTGCAAATGTCCCGTTTCCGGCCAAATGATGAAACGTTAAGCGTCTCTCGCTCCTCAGCCGTAGTGCGTGACTCTCAAAACGCAGCCGCCGTCCCTCCGGCTCCCAGACCCGCAAGGAGGCCGCAGTGTCCTGCAACAGCCGAGTCTGTTTTTCCTGCGTTGTTTAAATTCATTCTGCAAATCGTTCGTCTCTAGATCCTGCCATTTTCACTCACCAAAGAAAAACTCAACCCAAGGATTACGGGTTGGGAACCTTATAAGCATTTAAGAAGCAATCGTCTTAGCAAAACTACGGTTTCTGGCAGCCTGCGCTGCAGGTGCCACTTTCTATTCTGCCTGCAGCAAAGCTGTGCTGAAACTGCCATGTTACATCTTTGGGCTCTCTGCTTTCTACAGCATCAGAAAATCAGTCTGGCGTGTGATTTCACCCTATTCACTGAGGTGGATGTGTCTTCAAAATTTGTTCAGCCATTTTTAAGCTACAGCTTAAAATTATAGCTCGCTTCCCGTAGGAACAACAGCAAGGTACAGTTACTCCCTGCAAGAGTTGCAGACCACAGATCTCCTAACAGCCCGGGATGACGGCCACCACTTCTGTCCTCCAGAGCTCAGTTCCTCCTCATGCAGCCAGTGGGGACATCCAATCCTCACTCCTCGGCTGGAGGAGAGAAACTGCTGACAGCTGCAACGTTGCACAAAGCTGTATAGGCTGAAGGGAGCTCTTTCAAAAAGTTTAAGAAGCAGTGGAGTGAGACCTTGAAACTCCACAGGGAGCTGGTATTTTTGCCAGACATGTAGCTTGGATTTCCCCAGTGGAAAATTGAATGTGTATGGACAATTAGGAGCACATTCAGTTTCCTTCTCTGCAACAGCCTCGGGCCTCGGACACATCTGGAGCATCTATCCTGTGCTCTTGGTGCTCCTGCTGCTGGTGGGAGGTAAAGGAGGGAGTTCTTGGCTGCAACACAGGGGAGAGAGGAGAAGAGCTTGGAGATGAGAGGAGAAGCCCTGGGAGGCAGGGAACGTGTGATGAAGACTTTGGGAGGAGGAAGGCCAAGGTATGTCTATTTTCTCCTTCAGGTTTACTGTACTAAGAACCTTGAGAACTGCATGTAAAGTACCAGTATTCCCAAAAGATGGTTTTCCACGCCTGTCAGCATTGTGAGACTGTCTGTTAGGCGCTGTCCCTCAGCGGGGCTCTCTTATTCCCCCAGAAGGCCCCAATCACACTCAGTCCTTACAAGTTTACTGTGCGTCAGTGCACAAGGCAACAGCACGGATGATCAGTAGGGTGAGGATATCCCAAGAGCTGTACCAGGTCAAAGCCCTGGTCAGCTCGGTGCTTGACCACAACCATAAGCCCATGCTGAGGGAGAAATGACAGTGTATGTGGGCCAGGGCTGGGTTATGTGGTAGAGCAGGACTATGCTGTTCCTCAGCATTATCCCCTTAGCATGACAAATGAGCCTGGTGAATCACGTGCCCAAATAATTTCAGATGCTACGGGGAGCCCAAAGTGAGAGTTTAAGCTGACTGCAGGCAGACCGTAAAGGTTGTGACCGGGAAACGTGCTGGCTGGTGAGGCTCCTTGGGACGCAGTGTCCGCCAGATGCAGCATGGTGCAGTGCCTTCCCTCTTGCGCTGCCATCCCATCCGGGAGAAGCAGCCAGCTGATAGAGGACGGTGTCAGCAGAGCAAGTCTACCTGGTGTTCGAGGCGATGAGCCAGAGGGGCCCCCTGACCGTGCGTGAGGGGCGGGCTGGGCTGCAGCGAAGCACGTGGCAGGTTGTCTGCACCATCCTGCTCTGCCTGCGATGTCTGGCAGCTTGGTGCCCTTGCTCCGTGGGTCGCAGCACCCTCAGCTTGCCAGCAGCACTGGGCGATGTCTACTGTCTTGCTCTTCAGCGCACACCCCTCATAGTGCCTGCAAACCTCCTGCCCTGTGATCTCTAACTGGACAAAGTGTAAAATCTGTGCTTGCTGCGAGGAAATAAGCCAGGTGGCAGCTTTGAGCACTTTTTTTTGCCAATGAATGGTGCATTTTCCAAGGCTCCACTTGGGTGCTTTCCTTCCAACAAGGGCTGTTGTGATTCGGTAGCTGTTTGGACTTTGAACCTGCCCCTTTGCATAACATTGGCTGAATGTGCAGTGCACAGCCGGAGTCGGAGGAAGCTGCCAGAACAATAAATTTCAGTGTCTGCCTGAGCCACCCACAGCAGCGGGAAGATGATCTCCGTGTTTGAGAGAGTGATGAAGCAGTCCTGGCTCGGTGTGGATGTCTCCCGGGTTTTGCACTTGGCTGCTGTCTTCTGCCTGACATGTGTGCTCCTAAAAGCCATCCAGCTGTACCACAGGAGACAGGAGCTGCTCAAAACATTTGTCAAGTTCCCAGGCCACCCGACCCACTGGCTCTTTGGACATGTTCATGAGGTAGGAAAAAAGACAGATTTGCGTTTCCAGTGCGGGAAGGTGGGGTTGCAGAAATGAACTAGGTACACCAAAGCCAGTGAAGCAGTTTCCCCAAGTGAGGGGAAATAAGATTGATGGGAATTTTCCCTGTCATCTAGGAGAATTCCTTCGCGTCCCAGGGCTGATGGAAGGGTGGGAATCCTTTTTCTCCTATGCCAGATAAACTGCTTTCTCTGTATGCGAGAGTGATGGTTAACTGCTTTCTCTGCTGGAAGTGATGCATAAAAAACAGCATATACAGGTTACTGCAGAATGTGAGATGAAAAGAGGCAATAGCCAGCTAGCAAGTAAAGAAGACAAGGATGTAACGCAGAGTTGACAGGGTCGTCCAGAGGGGTGAATCATTATTGCTCTGCTGGAATCAGGAGAACCACGTTACCCCATCTCAGGGCAGGCTCTGGTTTCACATCTCTCTTACTGTGGAGATCAGAGCATGGCCATTGCGATTCTCCTGGTAATTCCTGTGCAGACGCACAGTGTTCCCAGCTGTGCCAGAGGTCAGAGACATGTTGTCCCTGTTGTCAGGTTTGCATCGCCTCCACAGCCAAATGAGACAGACAGACTATTGATCATTTTGAGTCACATTTAAGCTGTGAAACACCACCCGGAAAGAGAGTCCAGCACGGGAGCCACAGATCACGTTCTTTTAGGGTTGAGTTAAACTCACGACTAACTCAACCCATATAAATAAGAAAGACTTGTTTTGACATTCATGGCGTGAATGAATGTTCACCGAGATGTTATGCACTTGCCTGCAAAAATCAGCATGGCTGCCTTTGCAAACATATTTGCACAACTTGTTAGCAGCTCCAATACGATGTAAATGAGCTGTTTTTATTTCCTGCCTGAAGTGAAAGACTTTTCAGTGCATGCTAAAGGTTACTTAAAATCACACACCAGATTTACAGGTGTTATGTAAGGAGAAGATGCCAGTTACTGCCACGTGCAATTGAATAAAGTGCATTTGCAGTCTGTCAGCTGTGACAATTAGTACTGGAATGGGATTTAACCTTTTTGCTGATCACTCACTCACTCACATCATTGCTAAATTGTTCAGTTCAACTTTTACCTTGGCCAATATTTACTGAAGGAGAATTCCTGTTAGTCTTACTGATTAAATGCTGCTATACTCATTTGGGACCAACAGTTCATTAATCCCATGTAGAAACTGTAAATGTTCTAGCCACGTGCTGAATACAAAATTTACATGCACCTTTATAACAGTTAGGACGACTTAGGGGGAGGGCCTGACAACTACATTTAGGGAGAAAACTGAGATTTCCTGTTTCATTGATTTAGAGTAATTCATTACCAGCTTAATTCCGATCAAACTCTGTTTTTATCAGATCAGTTTCGTACCTCAAATATTATGTATCATGCGTCAGCTAATTCTCCTGGAAATACGTTATTGTTTGTTTTAAGGCACTCTTAGGTATGAGTCTCTGCTTACCCAAATCATTCGATATAAAAGAAATTAGTTTAAAATCCCAGAAGAGGTCATGTAAAGCTATTCTATCTCCTCTAGGTCTATTTGGAGAATAAGCAGATAACGTGACTTAGTTAAAACCCGGAGTCCTGAACTGGCCGAGCCAAGGTTTCCCTGTGGTAACAATTCCTGGGAATCATAAGAGAAAAGGGTGTCCATGGGTCCAGGAAGGCCAGCAGCCTCCGGTGTGGACCGGTCCTGTTTTAGCACCTGGTAGAGGAAAGCAAGCCTATTTTTAGCTGAGCACAGTACAGCTTAGTGATCAGATTTCAGCTCCTCTGTTTTCTCACTTTCATTTGCTATCAGTGTGTAGTCGTTAAAAAATACCTTGAAGCGCTTCTTTCCAGATGCTGTTAATATTGGATCCATTCCAAGACTTGCGTTTCAGCATGAGATCAGGCTATTAACTTTCTTCCTTAGAAGCAAGCAGGGGTTATACTTTTCTTTTAAAACGCCCAAGGGAGGAAAAAGTAAAAGTGATGGCCTTTTATCTAGATCTTCATAGCTGGAGCATTGGTTGGAAAAGTAAGAGCGTTAGTTCAGTTTCCTCCTCAACCTGCAGGACTTTAAACCCTCCCTCCGCTCCCTGCACGTGCTCTGCACAACAGGCAGAGGTTATTCACCTTGGCGTCATCTCTCCTTTCAGATAAAGCCATTCCACCCTGTGCTAGCAAAAGGATTATTCTGTTTAGCACAGATCAAATTGGATGCTGGTGCCCCCAGAACAAGGCAGGGTGCAAGGACTTCTCTTCCTAGGACTTCTGCCAGCCCTAGAAACCCAGGCACAATGCAGCTCATTCAGCGTCTCCCAATTGCTTCCACCATGTTTATATTTCCTATTATTTCATGAAAAGCAGCAACACAAGCAGCCATCTCGAAGGGACTTTCTGTTGTTTAAGTGTCAGTACACTAAAGGCGCAATGCCAAGTCCAGTTTCTGCTGACATGGCCAAGGGTATAAGCTAGCAGATGGGAACTGGGGAGAGGTGCCTTCTTTTCCAGGAAAATTTGGTCCATTTGGAAGGTGTAACCAGATATGCTTCTCCTTAATAAGTCCCAAGTCTTGAGCAAAAGGAGTTGAATAAGTGAAAACTTCACGTAGCTCTTTAGAGATGGGGTTATCTCCACAAAGGCATGCTGCCAGCTGCAGAACAGGTACTGGGTATGCCGTAGACATCCATAGCGAGTCTGTGCTAGGAAGGGAGCTCAGGCCGTGCAGTCCCTCTGACTGTATTGGACAGTTTGGCAAGGGTGGCTGGGTGTGTGGGTATTGCTGGTCAAGGGAGTTCAGTGCCTGAGCAAGGCCACGTGTCCCCGCAGGGTAGATGGCTGGTGGGCTTGGGTCGGACAGTGAGCATAGATGTGCCATCTATGTATTTTGCTTAGCCCCCTGGAAGACACCCTGCTGCATCTCCTCCTAATTTTCCTATCTGAGAGAAACCTGATATCATTGATTATCTGAGTATAAACCATCTCAACTGGAGAAATGCTAGCCAAATTAAAAGCAGAAGTGAGATAACTCAGCACTAAAGTAATTGAGCAAACATTCACTGGACTCAGTAACTAGGGGTTATTCTAGCTAATTTCTATACCAGTATTAATTATTAAATTCATCACATGGTGAATGTAATTAAACTTCAAGCTTAAAGTCAAAGCAGCAGCAGCTGTTTCAGCACGAGCTTACCAAAATCCTTCCCTGTTGTGCATCGTCCCAGCTGGATTAGATCTCTGCACAGATTGCCCACTTTGTCAGACTATTTTTTGTTCAAGGAAAAGGCTGATCTTTTCTCTGCCTGTGAATTTGGTCCTTTGCACTGAGACTTCTGACTAGTCCTTTGGTTACCGCCTGTTTAATATACAAGAACACTGGCTATAAAAAGCTATAAAACAAGGATTGCTTTCCAAGGATGAACCACCCAGTGCTGCTGATGGGAACAATTCTGATGAAATGGTACTTCTCAGAATGAAACTTTCAGGGTCCAGAGATGCGTCTTTCTGGGAGTGGGATGGCTCTTCACTGCATGTTAAATTCAAATCCTGGAAATCAAAGAAATATTAATCTGAGGTTATTAACCAGTGTTGCTTCCTCTGTACACTCCTCTGGTGACTTTGGACTCATTCCGTTGAATTTTATCTGGACTCTGGCCTTCTCCATGTAAATGGCTAGAGGAAGCTGTGGAGCAGTTTTCCCAGTCGGAAGGTATCATTGTACCAGAACAGGTGATATAGCAATGCAATTGGTGCTATAAAGTGCTGCTGTATTTTATCATGAATGGAGGATACTAACTGCTCAGCAATATGCAAGCGAGAACATATTTTTTGTGTCACAAAATACAGATGTTGTCTGGGGTAAATTTGATTCTTTTCTGGAATGTCCATGGAAAAAAAGTGCATAACATACATACACTGATAGGCAAGGTATGCCATTGTCCTTAAAAGTATTCTCCGTGGTTAGAATCAATTTATACGGAAGAATTATATGGAAATATAATTACTTATTATAATTATATGATCGTTTATTTATTTATGTTTATTTATATGGAAACCCTTGTAAATGGTTTGGGGATTTTTTTTTTTTTCTGAATCTCAGTATTCTTTCTCTTTTTACTTTTCCACAATTACAGTATTTGAAAGAGGAAGAGATTCTGGACAAGGCAGAGATCTGGGCGCAAAAGTACTTATATGCTCACCCTCAGTGGTTTGGGAGTTTCATGGCAATCCTGGTTGTCACCGATCCCGACTATGCAAAGGCTCTGTTTGCCAGAGGAGGTAAGAGATGATGCGTTCAACTGTGGAGCAATAGTAGCAGAGCTGCAAATCACTTATGCCAATTCACAGCAAAGTAAGGTTTCACAAATAGGTTATCTTGCAGAAATCATCTAAAGGCATCTAAACTTATCATTTATTCATCTGGATCCCACTCCTTTGTGCCTGGATCTCGGGTGCTTCCTGCACGTAGCTACCTGATCATCCGTGAGCTGCGGCAGCTAGAGGCAGTCCCTTTGGCTGCTCTGCCCTGCTGTTCTACTAGCAGGGACTGTCTGGTTTCGACCAAGCCTGTTTACTCAAGTAGTATTCATTCTCTCAGCTGTCTGTCACCTGAAATTTGCTGGCAAATCAAACTTCCTCAAGCTCCATCAAAAGTGTATGTTCTTGGTGCCTGATCCCAACAAGGAGAGAACAGCTAGGAGCTTTTTTTATCAGCTACAGTGAAACTTGGCTCATGACCTGTGATGACTCATGACTACTATGGAGCAGTGTGTTTAGTGCATGCTAAGAGAAAGGTGCTAAACAGTGCTGTCTGGGAAGGTTAATCATTTATCATGTGGCAATTTCATTTGACCTGGAACTACCAATATTCTGTTATTCCTTGATTAATTCTGTAGAGATGCCACCAGTTCTGTTTCATACCCAACCAAAAGTTGTATCCCAGAGTGAGTTTTAAGGAGCAAATGAGTGGACTGATACTAGTGAAATATTTACTGTTTTCTTTTTAATTCTTGATGGATTTTTCTTTTTAACAGATCCCAAGGATAACCTTAGTTACAAACACCTTGTTCCATGGATTGGTATGTATTCCCATGGCTTTGGCTACCAGGAATGATTCTGAAGTTAGTCGAGAACACACTATAAATAAACAGCATTGCACTTGTTCCTTGATGCAGTTATAGCTAAAAGCTTCCTGAAATTATCATGTTTATTGAAAAAGGTGCTAAATAATGCTAATTTTTATGCTTCTCAGAAAGGAAGTTCAGACACCAGGCATATATACAAATTAGAACCACTTATATGCCCTTAGTTCATTGGAGAAACTCAGATTCAACAGTGCAATTTAGAGGAGCGACGAGAAATTAATCTGTTTACCTGAACTAGTGTAGTTTTAGTCCTGCTGAGAGCGACAGGAGCGCAACATTTGACTAGTGCTTCTAAGCAGTCACATCTGGTTGTGCTTGGAGGTGCAGGAAATGGTAGGTAGTCAAAACAGAAAGCTTTTATTGGTTTCCAGAAAATGCCCTTTCAAGTTGTGGTTAAGGTTCAATGAGGTTCTGGTTTCAGCTTACTCTGGGTCACCTGCCACCTTGTCTGTCACTATGTGGAGCACGGCTGTGATCAGCCATCGTGAAACTTAAAGATGAAAACAACTTCTGGAAATAGTCTCTCATAGCAGCTCAGACATGAGATTTAGTTCTGCTTCTTACAGACTATAGGCACGTGAAAGCTGTCTGCTTGTGGCTATTGAAACAAACTCCATTGCCTGTGTTTCCCCAGGGAATGGATTACTGATCTTACATGGGCCAAAATGGCACCAGCATCGAAAACTTCTCACTCCAGGGTTTCATTATGACGTCTTGAAACCTTATGTGGCCCTGATGGCAGAGTCTACTAACGTGATGCTGGTAGGAATGATCCCTGCTCCTGTCTTCTGTCCTGTTTTCTTTTCCTTGATCCTGACTGGTTAGTAGTAAGTTGCTGGATCAGAATTTTCTTGCAGTACTCTTACTCGCAACCTGGACAGTTGATAATTGTAAAGACAAGTTTTGGCTTGGTGATTTAGCTTTCTGAATTGCCACAAGTCACTAGCTGTGAGCTGAAAGGAATTAGCAGGTTGAGCCTCTCTGAGAGGGACCGTGTCTCCGTTACTGCTTTGGGCTGTATATCTACGATTTCAGGATTAATAACAGCATCATCTCCAAAGTATATGTAATCCCAATCCCAACTACAATGTTTTATAAGGCATTTATATAAATGAAAAGCCAAAATAGTTAAAGGTTAGTAATAAATCCCTAAAACACGAAAGGTCAGAGCATAGCTGCACTGTGACCTAAGATTAGAAGATGTCATTTGGTGTCATCATACCAAGTCTGGATTCCAGTCCCCGTCTTGCCCAATACACAGTGAAACTGCACTGCCAGTCACCAATTGATGCTGGGCAGGATGGAAACCCATGCAATTACAAGTTTGGGGCACAAGGCTTTGTGCATACCTGTCTCTGGACCGGCAGGTATCTGGGTGCAAGATCCTTTGCCTCCTTCTGTCCCTCCCTCTGTCCCCTGCTCCCCAAAACCCCATGCCATGCCCCTGTGCTGCCGTGCCTTGCGCCTCCTGCCTCAGCTGCCTCCTGTGGGTGCCTCTTTCGTGGCAAGACCTGTCCCTGCAGTGTGGCCGAAACACACCGGTCTGGCAGAGTTCAGGGGCTGCACTCCTGCTGTCACCGGTGGTCTTGGCAGGATGCCTCTCGGGTTCAAACCGCTAGGATAGACAGCGGTGATAAGGGGGGCCATGAGCTGTATTCCCACCCTGAATCATTTAAAAATACCAAACTGCCGTGGTGTTTGTCCCCAGTGACTGGTAACCGCATAGTTCAAGGGGGCAGCAAGAGAGCCACTTCAAATCAGGGCAAGATCTCCAGACATCTCTAAGGCTGTTTGGTGCCTTCCAGTGGGAGTTCCAGTGAGAGGGCTGCAACCGCTAAGGCGCAACAAGCTGCTGGGCTCAGCTCTTGTGACCCCCTCCAGGCCTCCCCTCCAGCAGGTCATAGCTCACTGCCCTCCTTCCTCCCGCCAGCCCGGGGAGCAGGCATGGGCTGGGGCCTCGCTAGAGAGCCAGGAAAGCTTTTGCAATGCGTTACAGCGCCTGGCAATTTATAATTGCTTGCAGACAGTGCAAAAGTGCCTATTGTGTTAGCACATGCCACCAGGTGGCAACCTTTATATATGCTAAAGACATAAGCCTGCACATACACACCCTGTTTTTCAGCCTGATTTCGTGGTGTGTGGGCTCAGAGGCATCTGTGCTCCTTTTTGTATTTGTCCTTTCTCAGCTTTTGAATCCACCAGTTCCTTACAGCTACCAAGGGACAGAGGAGTCAGAATTGTTTCATTTCTCCCGTACAAAAGAGAGAGATACCATTGATAGTTTATCCAGGGAACCTCCATGAGAAGAATTGAGCGAGAGCTCCTATATTATATGCTGGAGAAATACGTTGGGAGAGAAACAGTAGGATGCAGAAGTCTTAATCAGAACCTTGCGTCTTATGTACCAAAGTCATACATGCTTGAGAGAGAGAGATCTGTAAAAAGCAGGCTCAATGAACCCTGTACCTGCACATACTGCATGCCTCTTCCAGGGTGCCTTTGACCACCTGCCGTGACGACCACTGTCTAAGCAGTATTCAAGAATGGCTGAGACAAATATTATATCAAACACCTCACTCTTGGCCCCTTTCAGTCATCAAGGGTTGCAGGTAAGCCAGAGCTGGTCCTAAGCGGACTACCTGGGCCTTCAGGAAGGCCAGGCATCGTGTCTCTTCAGCCTTATTGCTGACACTGGAAATCTCTGCACAGACCCCAGACCTCCCCGCGATTAAGCCTCACAGGGCAGTAATGCCTCATTTGTGTCATTAGCTGGATACCCCATCTACAGGGAACAGGGAGGACATTTACTCCTTTGCAAAGAGCAGCCCATGAGCCTTGGTGGTTAGCTAAGAAAGGGCTATTTGTAGCCAGCTGTGTTTTGACTGATCATCAAAGTGACTGATCCCAAGCAGAGTCGGTTGCTCACATTGGGTTCTGGCTTCCCTTCTCTGGGGTTTCAACAGCAACTAAGAGAGCCTCTTCCTTTTTCCATTTGTCTGGGGTATATCACTAGCTGAGCTCTCATATAACTGGAGAGTAAAGACAGATCTTGCAGAGCAGTTTTTTGCCTTCTCGTCTCTCTCTCTCTCTCCTTTGGACACTAGGATAAGTGGGAACAGCTGATCACAGACGGGAGATCCGTGGAACTCTTTGAGCACGTCAGCTTGATGACTCTCGATAGCATCATGAAATGTGCCTTCAGTTGTCACAGCAACTGCCAGACCAATAGGTCAGTGCTGGGTGCTCCAAGCCCTGGTGGAAAGTTTGCTGCTCTTTTGGGAAGTGTGCAAATTGCTTGCCATGATAATCCCGTTTTCATTTAAAGGATTCTCTAGCTTATAGTAACAGTACAGTTCAGTGGAGAGAGAGTACAGAGGTCCCCTTTTCCTAACAGCCAGCAGTGCTTCTTCCATATCCTCTATCAATGTAGAAGTGCATGTGTGTGTGCGTGTGTGTGTGTGTGTGTGTGTGTGTGTGTGTGTGTATATCTCTGTGTTCACTTTCTACAGCCTGTAATGTGACTGTGTCCCAAGCACTGCTCCCATATATCCAGGCAGCACTGAGGACACTGTTACCTTTAAAAGTGTTCAATTCCTTCCAATCTTAAGAGCGAAGACAGGGCTAGTTCGGGAGGCACTCACCAAGCCTGGATTTAAGAGATTCCTAGCTTTGTCACAGCCTTCTGAGCAACCTTAGCAAGTCGCTTTTAATGCATTGTGCCTCAGTTTCCCATGTGTAAGAGGGAGATAATTTTACAGACTTTGTGCATTCAGGCTCCAGGCTCCTTAGGGCAAGCACTTGCTAAATAGTAGCCTTCTAGTCTTAAAGAAGTCCTCCTGATGTCATTTTACCTTAAATTCTAACAGTAATAGTACCTTTCTCAAGTGCAAGCACTTGAGTGTATGCAGCCCTGTCCCCACTCTTTTGGCTATTAAATGCCTATTCCTCCACTCCCCATGTCAGAGAGTGGGACTGCACTCACTGTGTGTCAGAGAGGGGTGTTCCTTTCGAGACAGCAGTTCTGCTTTATAATTGTTTGTGGTTGACCAGTAATAGTGTTCAGTGTGTAGAAGGACAAAAAGAGGTAAATAACGCTTTTGCATTGGCAGGCCCTTAACAGCTTTCCACTGAGGGTTCTCTGGGGGGCTTCAGTATGGTGTGGATAGCTTGCTTTGTTTGTCACCTCTCCTGGACCCTGGGGGCTAGGGACCTGGGGGACTGAGGACCCAGGGACTTCAGGCTGGTGTATATTGCACATGCCACCACATGCAGCAGTGTAAATCCCCTTCCGCTCTTCCCAGGCAGAACAGCTACATCCAGGCCGTCTATGACCTATGTTTCATGGTGAACCAGCGACTCCGCATCTTCCCCTATCACAACGATGTCATTTACTGGCTCAGCCCCCACGGTTACCAGTTCAGGAAGGCCTGCCAGCTTGCTCACCGTCACACAGGTATTTCCCTTTCTTTATCCTTTCCCAAAGCTTTCCTGCAGGACAGGCTGAAAGAGCCTTCCAAAAAGCAGGCAGGGTCCAAGTAGTGCATCCACTGCATCTCCTGACACTGCTTCTGCCTCCATCCTAAAGAAACCCATCCAGAGCTGGGAAGTATTTAAACTTCATGAAAGCCTCTGTGGCAATTAGAGGCAGTTTATTTATTCACCTTTTTACCAATACAGTTATACTGCCCAAAGGCTCAGAGCAAGGATCTGGAGTCTCCGTGCAGTGCTGCAGCGTGCTGAAGGGAGGCACCAGCTTGGTCTGATCCAGCATATCTGGCACTGTATTGCCTGAAGGGCACATTTGATTACCGGTTCAGCTCAAGTGTATGCCTGCTTTCCTCACCAGAATTACTCACCGGCTTTCTGCACCTTACCAGTGGTGCTGGATGCCAGCTTGAGCACAGCTTGCTGGATGGCAGCATCCAGGCAAAAACAGCATCTTAAGGGGAGTCTGTGTGACCCGGGTTGCCTGGACGTGGTACCAGTAAAGCCAGTATGTGCGCAGCAGGCTCAGGGGACTCCAAGTCCTTTTACTGAGTCTCAAACCTTCTCTTCACCTTGTAGTGTTGATATAGTCTTAGAGAATCAACTTCCAGCAATGACTCATGGTGGGCATGAAGCCTTGTGGGGGTCTCACATCTCCTGGAATTTATTAAACAGGACTAATGGAGGAGAGAGAGGAATTCCCCTCCAGGAATGCTCCTTCTAAAAGATCAATGAGTAGTGAGATGGAGGCATCAGTGCCACACATAATAGCAGTGGAAGGAATGATTTCCTTTCCAGGCCATGCATGATTTAAATGCAGGTGAGGTGGGTGAAAAAGGCCAAGGAGTCTGTGGTAGACCAAGAAGAAGTTTACAGAAGAGGATCCCCTATTGCGGCCAGTGGCAATGTGCACGTGATTTGTTGCCATGTTACTGAAAAAACAAAACTGCCTGGGGTGCAGAAAATAAGTGTCAGATGTGAGGAACTACATCTAAACTGCATGGTGATCCCCGCACTTTGGGTGAGCTCTGCCTTTGAGGCACGGGCTCAGCGACTCCCGATGCTACTAAACCTTTAACTCTTTCTTACTCAGACAAGGTGATCCAAGAGCGAAAAGAGTCCCTTAAGAATGAGCAGGAATTTGAAAAGATCCAGAAGAAAAGACATTTGGACTTCCTGGACATTCTACTCTGTGCTAAAGTGAGTGGTGGGGAGTGGATGTATGGTTCAGCATGGCCGTGAGAGGACATGATCTACCAGGCAGGGCAATAACGTGCAAAATCCAGTCTTTGCAGGGTCTGGCAAAAAACACGAGGGTGGCACAAAACACTTAGGGACTACAAGAGCCATTAAAACAGATCTACTTTTCGTCAGCCTAAACAGAGTCCCCAGCCCTACTCAGCTGAGAAGGGGGCAAGGTGGTCCAATTTTCCTCTCCATGTCTCTGAAATGCTGGTAGTGTGGATTGGGGAATATAACAAGAAGGATTTTGGAGTCTTGCTGATTTAAATATGAAGGGAAAAGGATCACAAAGGGGATTAAAAGCAAAGGAAGAGGTGCCCTGAGTTCGGGCTAAGCAGAGATTTATTTGTGTTTATATGTATCCCAGGAGCATCATCACCCTACTTTGCAATAGCTGAAGGAATAAAAAGTCTCCTGGGTTAACTGGGGCCACTGAAAATGCCTCTGGTTTGTTAGGATGAGAATGGGGCTGGACTGTCCGATGAGGACCTGCGTGCCGAGGTGGACACGTTCATGTTTGAGGGTCATGACACCACAGCCAGCGGGATCTCCTGGCTCTTGTACTGCCTGGCATCACACCCCGAGCACCAGGCACAGTGCAGAGAGGAGATCCAGGGGATTCTGGGAGACCGTGAGACGCTTCAGTGGTAAGTTTTCTCAGGGTTGTTCAGGAGTGTCCTGGGATCCCTGGTGTGCAGCAGCCTATTGATTGGATGCTGCTGGCCCCGCCATACTAACCATCTATTGCAAGGTGGTCTGCAAAGGCAGGGAGCTGGCTTCTGTATACCTGCATGGTTCCAAGTCCAATGCAGCTGTGGGTGCAAGCTACGTACCTGCAGTGGGAGGGAGCATGTGACTCACCTCCTGTCTCTGCCTTTGCGTCCCTTCAGGGAGGACCTGGGGAAGATGACTTACACCACCATGTGCATCAAGGAGAGCCTTCGCCTTTACCCTCCGGTACCTGGTGTGTCCCGGCAGCTCAGCAAACCCATCACCTTCCATGATGGGCGCACGTTACCAGAAGGTCTGCAAATCCCAGATCCTCTTTACATCTCGGAAATAAATTCTCCTCTGAGGCATCAGACACGTTCTTACTGCCCGCAACAGAGCAGAGGCGATAGCCCTGCCTAAGCGGCCTGTTTATCACAGGCACAAATGTTTAGAGAGGAGACTGAGTACCTTAATATCCCATCAGTAGCCTGAGGTCTGCATCATGCAGCATCCCACCACAGCTATGCTGTGCTGTGGCATCTCCATTACATCTTTCCTGCCACCAGCCGTGCCTTTGTCAAAAGTCCCTTGTTATCCTGGCCAAGAAAGAGGCAGCTGTTCAGCAAGTCTGGCAAAACTACAGGTGAACTGCAGCAGGTTGCCAGGAAATGGTGCTGTCCTGGCTTGCAGAGTGAGAATTAGCCTGTATTGCTGTTTGCTGTTTTTTAATAGGCATAGCAGCAGGCAATCTGGGTGGAGGAGACAATGCATCTACAATGCAAGTGCCTTGCTGATTTCCACCTTCTGGCTGCCTGCAGTATCCAACAACTAAACAAGTGGAAAATTTGTAGGATGAAATATCTGCTCCATTGAAGTCAGTGACAAAACTCTCATCGGCTTCAAGTGGATTAAGAAGACTGTGATGGTTTAGACAGATCTTTGTGTAAGCAAGCTGCAGAATTTCACTTTAGTATCTTTGTCCCTGAGCTCTTTTCTCCGCTTTGGTTGCTTTACAGGCACAACCGTTGCAGTAAGCATTTATCTCATTCACAGAAACCCCTATGTATGGAAAGATCCATTGGTAAGTTTTCTTTCACCCTTCTAATAGTTTTTCTGCCTTATGCTGTGTCTTCTAAAATTTCTTCTGCGTATGTTATTAGGATAGCAGAGCCCTCTTGTTGCTGAGCATCTTTGCCCACAGGAATCATAGCCCGCATGAATTTTATGCATGCTGACCAATGATTGCCTTGTTTTAGTCTCTGAGGTTTGTTGAAAAATGTATTCAGACAGAAACATTAAGACTGCAGTGTGGCCTCTCTGTTAGGTACTGTACAACACCTGTTAAGACGAAGTGCTCCAAAAAGTTTACTGTCTTATCAGACAAAAAGATTATTCTGCTCAGCTTACAGGTGGAGAATTGAATCATAACGATGCATCCCACTTCCATCATTTTAATCCTAGCTATGTCTGATTTGTCTGGCAACGCCATTGCAAGGCTCAGTAAAAACCAAGGGAGTTTGTTTTATGAATTGCAGTCCATCCTAAACTGAAGTCTCTTGCTAGTGTTGAAAATGTCAGGTAGGAGAGAGCAACAAAGGGGTCAAAAGTCCACCTATCGCCTCCCAGATGTCTCAACATCAGTGAAATCTGTATCTGCATATCCATAGCCTCTTATCTGAGATCAATAAATATTACAAGTGATGCCCACGTCACATGGAGCTGGAGACCGCTCTCCCTGGCCTGCACTCCTGGGAGTGGGCTAGGTCCCTCGGCACATGCAGGTTGTATATCTGTGCCTCAGACAAAGTGCCAGAGTGTGCTTTACCCAGGCAGGCTGTGAGGGCATCACTGTATGCACTGTGATCATCCAAAAGCATCTTACGTACATGCAGATCATAGCTGCTTCTCGCTATTCTGTCCTTATCTAGGGAAAAGATCCTTAATGAGACCAATAAAAACACCACTCCAGAAGAAGGCCCAAGTTTGGGGTGTAAGCACAGTTTTATCCCTCTGAGGTAACCCTCACAGCCATTCCAGGTAGACAGCATACCAGGGCTGCAGCCCCATGTGCTTGGAAGGTGTCACGGTTGAGGAGGCTCCAAGGTGGGTGTCAGTACAGAAAATATCCTGGATTTTCTGTAGTGCCTTTGAGTGCCCTCTTTGAGATACCTACCTTCCTGCCTTCCTCCAAATCTGCCTTGGTAGCTTTAAAGACCAGAAAGGACCATTAGATTAATCTAGATAGATCTTTCAAGTGCAAGCTTGTAGCTTTTCTAGCTCTGCAGAGCTAGAAAACTTTTTAAAAAATCTCCACTCCCAATTTAAAATATTTCAAGTGATGAGGAGCTGGTCATGTTCCCCAGGTCAGTTGTTACCATGGCTTATTCCACTTATCACAAAATAAATACTATTTCCAGTCTGATTTTGTCCAACTTTGATTTACAGCCCTGCAATTTCTCCCCTCTCTCCAGCGGGGTTGCTCAGAAATGGGGTGGGATCCAGCAGTCCTGAAGATACTGATCAGTTCCTTTACTCCTTAAATAATTGCTTTTTCTTCCTGTGCATACTTTGTTTCCAGGTGTTTGATCCCTTGCGATTTTCTCCCGAGAATGTGTCTGGCAGGCATTCTCATGCCTTTTTGCCGTTTGCTGCTGGATTAAGGTAAAATATATTGAACTCCAAAAGACTAATGGGTAGAGGCATCGAGCCTTCCCTGAAAACTGTTTACTCTGATAGAGCATGTGCTGCTGTTATAATTTCTATCAGGGAAGCACTCCAAGAGCCAACAGAGAGCAAACTTTGGGCCCTGATGTGCTGGTGTAGAGGAAAAGGTGGTTTGAGCCGTCCTGACAAAAGACTTGCTGTCAACTGGAGATACCACCCTCTTGCCTACTGCAGAAGTTTTCCTTATCAGCTCACTTGATAACTATTTCCTTAGCAATCATGTTTGGCAAAAAGCATAAATAATAGCTTTCCCTGTGGGCTGCTGAGCTCAGAGAGAGGCTGAACTCTAGGGAAGTCAGGCCCTTTCTCATGCTTTTGGTTGATGCAAACCCAGTTTCCTGAATTCCCCACATATGTCTCTCTCCTCCCAGGAACTGCATCGGGCAGCAGTTTGCCATGAATGAAATGAAGGTTGCTCTTGCACTGACCCTGCTCCGCTTCGAGCTCTCACCTGACCCCTCCAAACCTCCCTGTAAAATACCTCAGATCATCCTTCGCTCCAAGAATGGGATTCACCTGTATTTAAAGAAAATCCGCTGATGCTGGAAAAAGTGCTGACTTTACTGGGGGGAGGGAACATGCAGATAATAAGACAATATTTCATCAAGGCGAAAGGTGCAAGGCAGGATTCAGGGATCAGGATTCTTGATTTCTGTGCTTCTTCCCCCAGCTGAAGAGCCCTTTTTGGCCTGGCAGCATATCACACCCTTTCAGTTTGACAGAATATGGATCAATCTACACAGTACCATTTCCACCTGCTCTGGAAGTGCTGATCTTCAAGCAGCAATACTCATCTCTTTGCTGGCTTCCCTCTCTTCTTGCTGGGGAGCCCAGTCTAACCTGCTGGGAAGGCTTTCCTTTGACTGCAAGAGGCCTGGGATTAACTGCAGGTTCTGCCAGCCTTCTCACCAAATTCTGTGTTCACTCTCACGTCTTCTCTGAATTCTTCCCCCATTACCCTTTCCCAGCCGTCCTCTGATCTCTATACTTCCCTCAGTGTCTAGACCTGAGCTGCCTTCTACTTGAATCATACTTCTATGAGGCCTTACAGGAGCAGTTCATGTCAGACGTCTCTCTTGTATCCAGTGTATCCCTGTTTTGTTAAAAGCAGTTTAGGCTCTTAATTTATGCTCGGATTACAGAATATTGTGTCATTTTTGTCATTTTTGTCTTAATAAACCAGTAATTATTCCTGTAATAGCAGCTGCATTGTTGATGTCTACCAGCTTGATCATAAATATCCTTTAGACATGAGAGATGAAAAGGAAACACGTGAACTTGAAGAGTCAAGGCCATGTTTCCCAGCAGTATAAATCATACCACACTGCTAATTTCAGCCTGCGCTGATTTAGTGTAGCCCAGAACCTGGTCGATCGTACAAGAGAAATTACTGCAAAGCCTGTGCTTGCTCTGGCATCTGCACACAGACATCCCTCCTGCCATGGCCCGGCCCCACAACCTTGCTTGCTGGGAAGGCCCCCAGCACCGGCACCGCACCATCTTTTCTCAGACCCTAGAACTGACCCCCTCAGGGCAGGATGGGACGTCCCGTTTCCCAAAACCCTGCGCACTGGCTGACTGGGTCCCCAATCATCTGCTTTGATGGGGACCACAGAATAAACCAGCACTGGCTGTCAAAGCGGCAAGAAGATCTCTCCTGGTGTCGCAAAAACCTCTCTTCAGGCTGATGCAGCATTAGAAAGACCTACTCACGTATGGGGTGTGCAGGGACAGGTTTTATACCCAGCTGCCTCTGTAAAATGTTCTCTCTTTAATTCCCCTGTTTTCTGGAGAAAGGGCACAGGGAACTGCACCTGTGTCTGTCTGGTCTGCTCTGCCCACCCCACATTTTAGTTAACCGAATTAACAAGAGTCCAATGTACAACTTTCATTGAGAAGCTGCACAGGAAGAATGAAGGTGGCTAGAACCCTTTTTTCCCCTTGTTTTTTTTTTTAAAAGAGGATGAACTTATACAAGTTGTAACCGAGAGATGCACTCAATTGCACCAGTGAGCTATCCTCTGCAGAAATCAGTACTGGGGTAGAAAGTGTAAAACTGCTAAACCCCAAATATTACTGCTGCTATTAGCATTATGGTGACATCGGCAGGGCCTCAATTCAAGCTTCTTGTTCTATAAAATATGTGCTAAGTCAGTCCCTGTCTTCAGAAACCTATCGTCAGCAGATACAGATGGGGGTGGGGAGGGTAGAAGTTCCTTTCTGTGGGATATACAACATTTTAATAGCAGCTCTAGGACTGAGTCACTGTTTGCCCCCCTTGCAAGTGCTTTAACCATGAAGCCACGCAACATGCTCACAGGAGCTAAGCGCAGGGGAGGGGAATAATCCAGCTCTCGCAACCCCAGCCCTCACTGCTTGTCCTGACACCAACCATGTCACCACGCACACTGTTAATCTCTGCTGTGTCGAGCACACAACGTTTTGGTCACAGAGAGCAAGAAGTTACGCCTTCAAGTTACTTCTTGGGTCAGCGTGGGGAATGGCCAGGCTCTCCCAAGGAGCCGTAAAATCTGCCAGCGCAGGGTTTCACTTAGACCATAGCGTGGTAGGAACTGCCATCTGGTGGGCAGAGGAGCAGCAAAAATTAATTTGCCAGGCCAGATTAGCACAGGCACACGTCTAAGCATTGGTTGCGTGGCAGGATTTATCTAGTGAAAAAAGGAAATTTGTGCTGAACGGTCCAAAGCGAGAGGATGCACAACCCAGCTGTGGGAGGTGAGGTAAACCCAAAAAGTGGGTCATTTATGAAATGGGTTTCTTAGGAGATGCTCTGGAAACCTCCTTTCTCTTCCTTCTTTCTGCTGCAATAATATAGTTTGTAATATAAACGTCCCCATGCCGGGCTGAAGCACATTTTAGCAGACTCACAGGTGCCTCAGGGTCTAGAACTGCTATTTCACATTAGAATTAGGGCCAGAGCCTGCAGCGTCCATGGTCTAATTCAAATAAAACCTGTTTAGCATTAGTTTTTGGCATGATGGAAGCAGCCATGCAGCGTAGCCTCAGCAGAGAAATAAGATGACATTACTTCCCTGAGTTAAGGTGCCTAATAGCAGAAAATAATAGCTGTTGCCCTGGTACAGTTTTGCCTTTGCCTCCCCCTGCGGGAGTGGCAGCCACAGTCACACTTGCTGGCGCAGGCAGATTTCAGAGAGGAAACGGCAGCCCCACCACAGGGCTCACATAGGTACCCAGATGGGGCCATCACTTTCATAGTGAATCCAGAAACTGCCTCTCCCACACCTTGCCAAATGCTATGAAAAACAGGGTGGGGTGCGGTTGACAGGGCGTGTTAATAAAAGGCGGACGATTGAAACTTGCAGCGGCTGGTGCTTCCAGGCATGAGCAATGCTTGCAGCCTCAGCAAAAAGCTTTTTCTGATAACTGCTAGCACAGACCTCTCCCTCCTGTGCTGTTCCCTGTGATTCTTAGGAGGAAACTGGAATTGCAAGTCCATGCACTGGCTCAGTGTAAATGCACTGGCTCAAGGTTTCTCAGTTACAGTCTTTAGTGATAAAGGGAGCAACAAGCTGATAAACAGCTGGTTTCTTCAGAGATGTTGAATGAGAGTTCAGATCCCTGGATAAAATATCATTGGGTAAAAGTTGCAAACCCAATGCAGTCATTCCACTGGAGCTGTCTCATCTACAGCAGCTGAGGACCATATATCTGGGGCAACGCAAATATTCCTACACAAAAATGCAGCTGTCCTTGCGTGATGAACAGACCCCATGTGATAGAGCTCAGCTCAGCAGAGCCGTGCAGAGGTCTGTCACAGAAAGAACAGGATTGCTGTGCATGAAGCATGAATGGAGATTGCTGCGTAGGAAAACACTGGAAGGAATGATATAGAGCAGAGGTTGCAAAAATGGAGTGTACCGACAACAAAGGATATGAGTGGCAGCAATAAAATGTGAGCACTGAGGAAAGTTGTTTCCATCAAGGCAGAAGGCCTGCATGCCAGTAAGGCCCCCATGCCAGTAAGGCCCCCGCACAGATGACTCAGCAGCAGACTGCGCTTTCATAGCAGCAGGAGGGGAGCAAGGTTGCATCATATTGCACGTACCATCCCTCTCCCTGGCGCCCCATCAGGAAGCTGGGAGAGATCCCTGACAACACCCACTTGAGGGACCCAAAACAATGGACTGTAACCTGGACCAAGGTTCACAGAGAGTGAAGTAAGTTTGATTCTGGGGCAAAGGGATTATGCCATAGTTGCTGACTCCTAAACGGTGTCAGAGATCTGCCTTCAAACCAGCCTGTCATCACCAGTCAAGAGGTTCCTTTTGTGGAGGCAGCACAAAAGGAGAGAAGGTAACAGAGGGAGGCTGGTCCCTTTCTGTTGACTCTGAAATGGCAGAGCCATAGCATATGTGGCAGAAGACACAGGCAAGCGCTCCTTTTTCATTGCATGCCTGTCTGTGGGGTTTTGCTACGTTGCCATGTAAAAGTCTTTGAGGTTTTCCAGTCCCCAGTCCTTCCCTGCCCCTTTCTCCCCAAACCTTCACCACCCACTCTTATCCTCCTTACCTGTCCATGGCCTCAAACCTAGAAATAACCACTATCTGTATAGCACATGTCTGTATAGACTTGATGTCCCAACTGAGATCCAGAACTATCCACAGGGTCTGTAAGTGAAGAGGAAAGGCAGACAAGAGGAAGGAGAGGAAGAAGGAAGGACATTAGTCAGAGTGGACCTGGTAGTTTGGTAGACTCCGCAGACTGTTTTCTTTTTTCCAATAGACGCTATTACAAGGCAAGGGCTATAGCCTGGAGTTTCTGTGGGCCATTTAAGGGATTGTAACTCTTTGGTTTATCATTTCAAGTGAGTTCTGAGCTATAAATTGCCACTGGGTGAGCTGAGGCAGCACAGACCCTCCAGGGAAGATGAGGTGGCAACCAAACTCCGTTCCTCCCTCCTCCCCTGTGTGAACCTGAACCAGTCCATGTGAGCAGCCCAACTCAGCTAAGAGGCTGAATGAATGACGCTGGCCACAGATGGAGCTGACTCTGAGTGCTCACCCACCAGAAACTCCACCAGACTTGTCCCTGGCACCTTCGTTTCTGATGCCTGTGAAAAACGTGGCCTCCAGAACTATTTTGCAGGACACTGGAAATACACAGACACCCTGCCAGTAGGAACAGGGGAAAATTACAAGTGCAATTTGAAATTCACAGCAAGAATTTGGAAAGGACTAAGGATTTAAAGCTAAAGAAGGGCTTAGTGACACCAGGTATCTGGAGTCATCTCCTGAGGTTGCCACAGGCTCTCTGTGTGATATGAAGATGTCAAACCGATGCCTTTTGGGGACTGGACAGAAGGTGATCCATCCTGGCAGTGATCCATCCTGGTGATCCATCCAATGGTCCAGCTGGCCTTTACCATTTCCATGTCTGGGCAGTGGCAACACCCAGAGGTTGAGCTATGGAGAAAATGAGGTCCAGGAACATGCAGAGCACATGCCGACTAGGTGAGAGGACAACGATATGCTGTAATTGCCTTGAACAAGCAGCAGGGAGAGCATCTGTGGGAAGTTTCTCAGAGGGCAGCAGTGAGTCACTGCCAGCCAGGCATGCCTAACGTACCTGCACACCACAGCAGAGTCAGCAGCAGGTGCCATTACCTCTGGCCCCGTGCACCCGTGACAGTGGAGATTAGCTCTGTAGCCGCCACTGTCAAGGGCTTTATCGCATCCAGGCTCATGCACCTCAGTACCAAGGCCCTTTGGCAATGTTAAAAGCATCCCTCAACCTTGTCCCTCCTGCACGGTGGCTCAGACCTGTACAAGTCTTATCTGCTTATTGAGGGTACTAAGTGTGCTAGGGAACAGGTTTACAGGAAGACTTACTATTTTGCAGGCCCAAGAATTGCAAACTTGTGGCTTTTAGTGGATACTTTAAAAAGACCAAGCTTACAGCAACCGGAACCACATGAATGGAGCTCAGGAAAATGGGGAATTTGGGGCCAACCTGAGCCATCGGGGCTACCCTGCCTTCCGTAGTGGATGTGTAATCAGGGGTCTCAGAATATGATAGATTATTTTATACATCACACTATCTGGCAAAAACAAACAAACAATCATAGAAAAAAATAAGTGTCAGACCAAACTTCAGCTTAATCACAGTTATTCTTGTTTGGGCTGAAAACCAGAAGAAAATTGAAATGTCA